GTGGCAGGAGAGGGTGTCGAGTGGAGGTGGTGGTAGGAGGGGTGTCGAGTGGAGGTGGTGGCAGGAGGAGGTGACGAGTGGAGGTGGTGGCAGGAGGGAGTGTCGAGTGGAGGTGGTGGCAGGAGGGGGTGTCGAGTGGAGGTGGTGGCAGGAGGGGGTGTCGAGTGGAGGTGGTGGCAGGAGGAGGTGTCGAGTGGAGGTGGTGGCAGGAGGTGGTGTCGAGTGGAGGTGGTGGCAGGAGGGGGTGTCGAGTGGAGGTGGTGGCAGGAGGGGGTGTCGAGTGGAGGTGGTGTCGAGTGGAGGTGGTGGCAGGAGAGGGTGTCGAGTGGAGGTGGTGGTAGGAGGGGTGTCGAGTGGAGGTGGTGGCAGGAGGAGGTGTCGAGTGGAGGTGGTGGCAGGAGGGGGTGTCGAGTGGAGGTGGTGGCAGGAGGGAGTGTCGAGTGGAGGTGGTAGCAGGAGGGGGTGTCGAGTGGCGGTGGTGGCAGGAGGTGTCGAGTGGAGATGGTAGGAGGTGTCGAATGGAGGTGGTGGCAGGAGGGAGTGTCGAGTGGAGGTGGTGGCAGGAGGGGGTGTCGAGTGGAGGTGGTGGCAGGAGGGGGTGTCCAGTGGAGGTGGTAGCAGGAGGGGGTGTCGAATGGAGGTGGTGGCAGGAGGGAGTGTCGAGTGGAGGTGGTGGCAGGAGGGAGTGTCGAGTGTAGGTGGTGGCAGGAGGAGGTGGTGGCAGGAGGGGGTGTCGAGTGGAGGTGGTGTCGAGTGTAGGTGGTGGCAGGAGGGAGTGTCGAGTGGAGGTGGTGGCAGGAGGGGGTGTCGAGTGGAGGTGGTGGCAGGAGGGGGTGTCGAGTGGAGGTGGTGGCAGGAGGGGGTGTCGAGTGGAGGTGGTGGCAGGAGGGAGTGTCGAGTGGAGGTGGTGGCAGGAGGGGGTGTCGAGTGAGGTGGTGGCAGGAAGGAGTGTCGAGTGGAGGAGGTGTCGAGTGGAGGTGGTGGCAGGAGGGAGTGTCGAGTGGAGGTGGTGGCAGGAGGGAGTGTCGAGTGGAGGTGGTGGCAGGAGAGGGTGTCGAGTGGAGGTGGTGGCAGGAGAGGGTGTCGAGTGGAGGTGGTGGCAGGAGGGGTATCGAGTGGAGGTGGTGGTAGGAGGGGGTGTCGAGTGGAGGTGGTGGCAGGAGGGGGTGTCGAGTGGAGGTGGTGTCGAGTGTAGGTGGTGGCAGGAGGGAGTGTCGAGTGGAGGTGGTGGCAGGAGAGGGTGTCAAGTGGAGGTGGTGGCAGGAGGGGGTGTCGAGTGGAGGTGGTGGCAGGAGGGAGTGTCGAGTGGAGGTGGTGGCAGGAGGGAGTGTCGAGTGGAGGTGGTGGCAGGAGGGGGTGTCGAGTGGAGGGGGTGGCAGGAGAGGGTGTCGAGTGGAGGTGGTGGTAGGAGGGGTGTCAAGTGGAGGTGGTGGCAGGAGGGGTGTCGAGTGGAGGTGGTGGCAGGAGGGGGTGTCGAGTGGAGGTGGTGGCAGGAGGGGGTGTCGAGTGGAGGTGGTGGCAGGAGGGGGTGTCGAGTGGAGGTGGTGGCAGGAGGGAGTGTCGAGTGGAGGTGGTGGCAGGAGGAGGTGTCGAGTGGAGGTGGTGGCAGGAGGGAGTGTCGAGTGGAGGTGGTGGCAGGAGGAGGTGTCGAGTGGAGGTGGTGGCAGGAGGGGGTGTCGAGTGGAGGTGGTGGCAGGAGGGGGTGTCGAGTGGAGATGGTGGCAGGAGGGGGTGTCGAGTGGAGGTGGTGGCAGGAGGGAGTGTCGAGTGGAGGTGGTGGCAGGAGGGGTGTCGAGTGCAGGTGGTGGCAGGAGGTGTCGAGTGGAGGTGGTGGCAGGAGGGGTGTCGAGTGCAGGTGGTGGCAGGAGGTGTCGAGTGGAGGTGGTGGAGGAGGTGTCGAGTGGAGGTGGTGGCAGGAGGGTGTCGAGTGGAGGTGGTGGCAGGAGGTGTCGAGTGGAGATGGTGGCAGGAGGTGTCGAGTGGAGATGGTAGGAGGTGTCGAGTGGAGGTGGTGGCAGGAGGGGTGTCGAGTGGAGGTGGTGGCAGGAGGGGGTGTCGAGTGAGGTGGTGGCAGGAGGGGGTGTCGAGTGGAGGTGGTGGCAGGAGGGGGTGTCGAGTGGAGGTGGTGGCAGGAGGGAGTGTCGAGTGGAGGTGGTGGCAGGAGGAGGTGTCGAGTGGAGGTGGTGGCAGGAGGGAGTGTCGAGTGGAGATGGTGGCAGGAGGGGGTGTCGAGTGAGGTGGTGGCAGGAGGGGTGTCGAGTGGAGGGGTTGGTGTCAGTGTTGGTGGCAGGTCGGAACGTCGATATTTGACAAGATTATAAAACGCGAAGAAAAGAAAAAGCATCATAACCTTAATAATAACTAGAAGAGAAACAGTAAACAGCAGCGCAGAGGGAAGCGCAACAGACCAGACGGCAAAATAAAAAATATAAAATAATAAAAAAAAGATAATAATAATAATAATAAAAATAATAATAAGCGACCGCCATCCAAGAGTTCA